GAAAATTTGGAGAAGAAGAAGAAAACTCGAACATGAAGAAAACTAAATCAGAGAATAAAAAAGGGAATGTGAAGAGAGAAAAGATAAAGAAGATACAAATAAAAACTTGAATAATATGATGTTAGAGAAGACAAACATGGTAAAGATAGAGAGAGAGGGAATGAGAAAGAAGAAAAACCGGAAAAGAAATGATAAGAATATTAGAAAGAAGAAAAAGAATATTGAGTTGGAGGATATGAAGACACAATAAAATATTGAAGAACAAAAATTGAAAAATGAAGAATAAAAAGAAAAGATGATGAGAGCAAATATAAAATTGAAAGAAAAAAAGAAGATTGGATAATTGAAGAAGAATAAGAGGGAGAAGAAAATAAGAAGTGATAAATCTTTTGTATCTCTCTAAGCGAATGAAGAAGATTATGAAGAAGAATGAAAAATATAAGATAAAAATAAGACACATCAAGATTACAAAAGTAAGAAGTCTGTGAAAACAAAAAAAATTATACAATCATAACTTATACTGCTTATATTATTAAAATCTTTAATTAATTAGTATAATTTTAAAAAATATTGTACCCACAAAAAGTTTTTACTAAAAGAACTTTAGGTTGCAGTCTTGACTGAATATGGATTTGGTTTTGAGAGGTTTAAAAATCTGATGATACTATCAATTATATCAATTATGTTACTGTGATTTAGTCATGGTTTTGCTGGAGCATTTTTCATTGTCTAGATATATTTTGAGTAGCGTATTTGGAGATGGATACTTTTAAGCATGGTATTAAATTTGAAAATTCTATGGAAGATATATAAGTTCTTCCTCGAGAGGTCGGTGTGTACAGCAGGGTCTATATAAACCCACATGCTGTTCAAGAGGTCTATAAGAACATAAACCAATTGAAAAACAAACTGTAAATAAAATGAAGAACGCGAATAAAAAACCAGGAATAAAAAGGTAACAACGAAGAGAGTGGAAAAGAAAAAGAGATTATAAAGTTTGATAAGAATAAGGAAAAATTGTAGAAAATGAAGGAAAACATATCAAAGAAGTAAAAGACAAAAAAAAAATGGGGTTGGGGTACACGATGTACGGTTTATATTGATGGGCGTAAAGTTTAGTTTTTGTTGCATTTTAAAAATTTGAATACACAACATTACCGATTAAAAAAAATTATTAAGGAAAAAATAAAAAGAAAAACAAATCTATAATCAGTTTGTAAAATGTGGGGTTCGAGTGTGCAGTTTAGAGAGAATTATAACATGGGATTTGGATTTAGGATGTAGGGTCATTTAAGTAAGGGGGGTTTAGGGTTTAGTTTTTGTGCATTTTTAAAAATTTGAAATATTCTAGAAAAATATTAAAATTAAAATCATTGATTATAAATTTATATCTACCTTTCTAATTTATATTCACAAAAAAAAACAATAACAATTAAAGCAAATCCATAATCGAAAGATAACAAAAAAAATTAAAAGATCTCAACTATAGAAAGATAGAAAAAAAATTATTTCATAAATCTTTGAAAATCTAAACTATGAATTGATAGGTGGAATACAATACGTACACAAGAACTAATAAAAACACGAGTAAAAGAAGAGAAGACGATGAAAAAGAAGATGGGAAATATGTTGAAGAAGAAGAAAACTTGAACATGAAGTAAAATAAATTAAAGAAGAAAAAATGGAATGTAAAGAGAGAAAAAAAAAGACAAGGAAGAAATAAATAAAAAAACTAGAATAATATGATGTCACAGAAGACAGAGATGATAAAGATAGAGAGATGGGGAATGAGGAAAAAGAAAAACCGGAAAAGGAATGTAAATAAAATTAAAAGGAAAAAGAAGAATAGTGAGTTGGATGATATGAAAACATAAAAAAAGATTCAAGAACAAAAATCGGAAGAAGAAGAAAAGAAAGATGACGAGACCGGATATAAATTGAAAGAAAAAGAGGAAGATGGGATAATTAGAGAAGAATTAGAGTGGAAAAAAAACAAGAAGTGGTAATTTTTTTGTATCTCTCTAAGTGAATGAAAAATATTACGTAGAGAATGAGAAAGAGAAGACAAAAAAAATAAAACATATCAAGATTGAAAAAATAAGAAGTCAGCAAAAACAAAAACGATAAATACAATTATATATTCTATTAAGGTTTGCTAGCTAATGGAAACAAGAAGATCAAATATGGTACCAACTAAAAACAGTTCTAGCCAAGAAATAGTGGGTATGTACATCTTTCCTTTTTTTTTTTTAAACTTGGATCTCATGAAACCCTAATTCGACTAAGCGGCTCTTAAAGGATCGATTTTCAATATTCGTTTAAGATTCATCATATTAGTTTCATATTTTTTATATTCGAAAAATCAAAAGATAAAAAATGATGAATAAGAACAGAAAGCCAATTGTAAATAAAATGAAGAAAACAAATAAAAAGATGACGATGAAGAGAGAGGAAAATAAAAAAGAGAATAGAAAGTTTGATAAGAATAAGAGAAAATGGTAGAAAATGAAAGAAAAAAAATATAAAAGAAGTAAAAGAAGAAGATAGTATGGGGTTGGGGTTTATGATGTAGGGTTTTTATTGATTGGCGTAAGGTTTAGTTTTTGATGCACTTTAAAAATTCTGAACACCGATTAAAAACAAAAAAAAATTATTTTAAGAAAATAATAAAATAAAAATTAAATTAAATCTAGAACCAATTTATAAAATGTGGGGTTCAGGTGTGTGGTTTTGGGTGGGTGGGATGGGGTGGAGGGGGAGTTTATGAGGTTTTAGGGCGTAGTGCCGCCTTGGTGTTGGGGGGGGGGTTGTTACGTGTTTGGATTTATGGTGTAGGGTTGTTTAGGGAGTAATGTTACACTGTGGGGCTTGGGTTTAGGATGTATGGTTTATATTGATGGTGGTAGGGTTTAGCTTTTGGTGCATTTTTAAACATTTGAATGGAAGAATATTATAATTAAAAATTATTGATTACAAATTTATATCCACCTTTCTAAATTACATTCACAAATAGAAAAATTAAAAATTAAAGTAAATCCAGAATGGAAAAATAACAAAACCAATAGATTTCTAAATTATCCTGACTATATAAAGATAAAAACTATTTCACAAATCTTTGAAAATCTAAACTATCGAATGAATTGATAGGTGAAATATAAGATGTAGACAAAAACGAATAAAAACACAAGTAAAAGAAAAGAAGACAGTAAAAAAGAAGATGAGAAATTAGGAGAAAAAAGAAAAAAATTTGAACATGAGAAAAAGGTAATCAAAGAAGAAAAAATGAAATGTGAAGAAAAAAAGACAAAGAAGAGATAAATAAAAACTAGAATAATATGATGTTAGAAAAGACGAAGATGATAAAGATAGAGAGAGAGGGATGAAGAAGAATAAAAACCGAAAAAAAAATGTAAAGAAAATTAGAAAGAAAAAGAAGAATAGTGAGCTAGAAGATATGAAGATATAAGAAAAGATTGAAGAACAAAAATTGGAAGAAGAAAAATAAAAAAAATGATGAGAACGAATATAAAATTGAAATAAAAAAGAAGAAGGTGAAATCATTGGAGATGAATAAAAGAGAACAAAATAAGAAGTGTGAAATCTTTTGTATTTCTCTAAATGAATGGAGAAGAAGAAGAAAACTCGAACATGAGGAAAAAGAAATCAAAAAGAGAAAATGGAATGTGAAGAAAAAAAAAAGATAAAGAATAGATAACTAAAAACTAGAATAATATGATGTTAGACAAGACGAAGATGATAAAGATAGAGAGAGGGGGAGTGAGGAAGAAGAAAACCCGAAAAAAAGAATGTAATGAAAATTAGAAAGAAAAAGAAGAATAGTGAGTTGGAAGATATGAAGATATAAGAAAAGATTGAAAAACAAAAATTGGAAGAATAAAAATAAAAAGGTGTTTAGAACGAATATTAAATTGAAATAAAAATAAGAATGTGAGATAATTGGAGAAGAATAAAAGAGAACAAAATAAGAAGTAGAAAATATTTTATATCTCTCTAAACAAATGAAGAAGACTATATAGAAGAACGAGAAAGAGAAAACAAAAATAAGACACATCAAAATTACAGAAATAAGAAGTTGGCAAAAACAAAAAATGTATATAATCAAAAATTCTACTACTTATATTATTAAAATCTTTAATTAATTTGTTTATTTAACAAAAAATTGTACCCGCACAAGGTGCGGGACAACCACATAGTTTACATGATTCCAACTTTGTTTGGCCCATGATGGCAAAAGGAATATTATCCCAATTAAATTAAGAAACATAATAATTGGAATGTCAAATTATTGTAACATATAAAATTAGTTTATTTATGTATACATCTCTTATTTTGGAGTCAACCACATGTTGTATTTATTCGTACGTGTTTTCGTTTTCGAAGCTGCAATTAGTTTTGTCGTCATCATATGTGATATATATCAATTTATGATTGATATGTATATGATATGATGATGGAGACCCACATCGGAATTTTTGTAACATGTGCGACCAACGATGTCGGAGTATATCTTGAAGAATGAAGACTACTACCCAACATTGATACGAATGCGCACATGTGTGCCTACGTTTGGTGTAGAGCTTCTTACCAAATTTCTAAGAAATTTTACAAACATGGTTTGACAATTAAAAATCCAAACCAGATTTTCATTTCACTAAACAAATTGAAGCTTTGTGTTGTTTTGTTTAACTTTTATGACATGTACATAGTAACAATAGTGAAAAAGAATGGCTGTTAGGTCCGTATAAAACTAATGGAATCTACAGCAGAAGAAGGATTTCAAAATATATCTTCCTTACCAAACTGTTGCCATGTGTGTGCTCTCCGTTTCCTCACCGGAAAAGTGAAGCCTGAGAGGCAAAATATCCGCTTGTGCAAGACTCGGGGGTCAAGAAGCTGAGAAGAAGATTGATCAAGCTCCTCCACAGTCTAATAACTCTCTCTCTCTCTCTCTCTCTCTCAAGAGACAAACAGAGATCCGTTTATATGGAAGTGACGAGACCAGTTTGGTTAGTGCATAAACATGAGCAGTTTGGTTCCGTTGCGTTTCTTGTGACGAGGCGTTTGTCGCGGTTACTCATTAGCTTGATGAGCGGTAGCTTCTGAGAGACTTGGCGCCATATCTCTTTCACTGCTCCATTTGGGTTCTCATAGTCAAAATACCTTCTTACCTGTATTTGCATCATTCGGGTTTGAGAAATGTCACACAAATAATCAATCAAACATTTGAAGAGGTTAGAAGAAGATACCGATTTCATCTCTCTCTGATACTCCAGTATCTTCTCAGTTTTGATTTTCCTCAGCATCTTAACCAAAGATCCAGGCTTCAGAGCCGCGTTAGCCTCAACAAAAATCGAAAACTTTCTGTAGTCTATAACATCTTCGAAAGGTAGCTCAATGCTATCGCTGACAATCACAGGCACACACAAACTGACTATGGAGTCAAAGAGTCTGCAAGCGGACGGTGTGTCACCGGCAGGATTTAGACAGAACTTTGACGTATGCATTCCTTTCGTAGCAGCTCTTCGGTTCTCTCTGGATTGTGTTCCATGTTTTATCGTCACATCTTCTTCCTTTTCAAGAACTTGGAATAACAAATCACGAACTTTTCCACCCTGAAAGACAACACCCAAAGAAGCACTCAGAAAGAGACTCTTCAACATAACCACCAGTCTGCTAAAGCCAATCAAATCGTTGTTCGTTCGTCATTTTCGCATTAAGTCAAGCGTAATCTCTTTTCTATTAGCTGAACAAAATCTCTGTAGGCACCTAAAACTTTAGAAAGCTATAGAAATTGGAAGAAGACAGTTTTTTTTTTTTTTCAGCTTACGTCTTTGCGATATCGATTGCCCATGAAGAAGAGCAATGTGTTGCGAGACTCTACTCCGATTTCGCCATTGAAGAGATTGACCCTGTGAGAGTAAGGTATGACGACATCTTTCACGAACGATCCTTGATCAGGCCTCAGCCTCCCGAAATCCGCCACGAGCAGAACCGCGTTCTTGACCCGGTCCAGGATCCGATACAAGGCATTCGGATCTCCGGCGGGAATCACGTGGTCTCGCCCGGCGTTCCTCCTCCACCACTCTTGATGCTCGAGCCAATCTATCAACCCGTCCTGCATCTTCTCGTCGCTGTAACCGGATCCGGATTCGACGGGGCGGCCCGCATTCACGATTAGGCTGAGGGAAGAGAACACCGGGACGTAGAAGAGGTCAGCTTCGGCAGGATCCGAGACCCGGACAATCGGAGACCCGGATCGATCCACATCGGGTCCGTTCAGATCCGAGAAAAGGTACCACTCGTGCATATGCTGGTGACCCGGGTACTTGAGCTTGGTGACGTCATCGACTGGCTTCTTGATCCCGCCGCGGACGATGGCGTGCTGCTCGATGACGCCGTAAGTGAATCTCCTGGGGAGATCGTACATGTAAACCCTAACCATAGGCTGAATCTGAGCTCGTCCCTCATCGAATTCTTCGCGCATGAGCTGGCGGGGGAGATCGGATGAAGAAGGGAGCGAACGACTCACGGAGGCGTTGAGAATTACGTAGATGGCGATGACGGAGACAACGGCGAACGCGGCTCGTTTGAGAAGGGAAGATTTACGCGCCATTGATGGAAGGAGATTGAAAGAGATAGAAAATAAACGAGCTCAGACCTTTAGAGTCAGACTAACGAAGATGACACTAGTTTTTGCTAATTATTTTTATTTTTTTAACTGTAAATCACAAATTCTGCTAATCATATATGAAAATTGTTAAATGTTGATAACAACGTACTGTATATATAACGGAATTATGAAATTACAACCAAGGAAATGATATGCAAATTACTGTAAGTCCAATGATGCAAACGATGATAAACATAACAAGTGGTGTTGTGAGGGATTTGTACAAATCTAATCTCTCTACAAAATCGTTTCTTTCGTAGACAGTGGCAGTGTTGTTCTTACTTAATTATGCTGTTTATATGAGATGGGACCGGATCTTGAGACAGCGAACCTCGGAAGTGGACTAGGACCTGTGCTGTTTGATCCTGACCCTCCCTTATGGCTCGAGCTGTAATCCAATGGTCCAGAGCGACGAGAACTCCCCCTTTGTTTGCTGTTGTTGTTGTTCTCACTGCTCCTTGAGGTCCCAGTCTCGGGTTCGTTGTAGTGATCATGACCGTAGAGTGAGGATGATGAGCCTTTGAAGTACCCTGAATCCGCGGCGCCGCTACTACCGCTACCGCGCTGGGGAGTGGTGGCGTTTTTCATGGTGGGAGAAGCGTGGATGAGCGATACGGATGGTGAATGGTATGGTGATGCGGTTGACAGCGGTGTGGACGGTGTGTTGGAGAAGTACTGAGTGTAGATTGATCTGAGGATTGCGTATGGGACGTGTGATTCAAGGGAGCTTCTTGGGAGGTATGGTGAGATCTCACAGAGTTGGTCGAGGAAGATAAGTTTGGCCACAAGATGAGATCTGCAGAACAAGGACGATGATGGTGAAATGATGCGGTAAGGAGAAAAAAAAAAGTTAAAAATCTGGTTTCTCTTACCGGTTGGCTTCGCTCCATGAATCTAGCACGATCGATGCAGCGAATTTGACAAAGAGTAACATTGCGGATTTAATGCTTGCTTCAGCGGTTACACGGGGTTGAAACTCTGAGTCGAGGTTTTCACTAGAGTGGTGACGGTTGGATAGGGACTCATGCTGCTGCTGGTATTCACGCTGTAACCTCACGTACTCACTTCCTGCGATGACGGCGCTGATACACCGAGCCAAGCAATGGATGTTGTTGCTGAACCCGCCTGTCTCGATGTTGAAGCCAGTAGAGTTCCATGCGGTCGAAGTCATGAATGATGCAAAAAAGTAAGGTAACAAACTCCATGAGTTGTCATTTGCACCTCCTATCTCCTCGAGGATTAATCTAACCCATTCAGAGTCATGATCTCCAGCTACACCAGTCCCGTTTGCCACGCCTTTGATCCTTCTGATTTCTTTCTTTTCAGGTATCTCTTCGGGTATGTGCTCAACGATGCCAGAGATCATCGAGTGTATCAATGATGCATTGTCTTCGAGAACAGCTCCAGAGGCTTCGGCTAGGAGCTCATCAAAAGCCAACGCTTGACCAGCTTCAATACAAAATCCTATCACAGTATCTAAATCCACTATCTGCCTAACGGATGCATCTCTTTCCCCTCTGTCACCAGAATGCATACTTGCAGCAGCCGTCTCAATTAATTCCCGGTTTGCCCTCAGAGACGTTTCTATGCAGTTTACAAGGGCAGCTGTGTGTACTTTCATCATCTTATCCAACCGGTCTACTCCATACCCGCCGAATATACGAACAAACGCCTGTAGTTCCTTGAGGTCGGTGACTGACTCTGCAAAATACCCACCAACTGGTCTAGTGCTTTTGAAGTATCTGTGCCTCGGAGCGAAGAGGATTCCTGCGCCAGACACATCCTTGATGATATTGTCCATGTACCAGTTGCACACAACTTCAACTGCAGATCCAGTGTTTTGCTGCTGTTGTTCGGCAGGCTTTTCGAATGAGTGTAAACAAGAAACAGGCCCTGAAAAGGCTTCTGTGAGTAAAATTTCTCGGATGCCTTGAGTTAGGTCCATGCTAACGTGCTGCTCTGCCAAATGGACTATGCTCATATGCCGTTTTATAAGAGACTCCAAAACAGAAGGCCGTTGAAGATCGCTATCAGTTTGTAGTGCAGTATGTAATCTTCTCTTGAAGTTCCCAAGGATGCATTCTCTCATGTACTGCAAATATCCAATCGGCAGAATAAAGTCAAAAAGTTTAACAAGAACAGTGTGTTTCTACAGATAGGATGATCCTTGAGTTGAAATCTAGAAGATAGAAGAGCTCACCTCCCTCAGCACAAAAACGTGGTTTATCACACAAATAGGCTCCATATCGTTCAGAACTGAACACAAATTAGTCAACCTTTGGATTGCAGCTTCCAACCTGCCATCACAAGGAGATACTTAAGATAACAGTATCCAAGGAGCACTAAATTCATGAAGAAAAACAAAACTTGAGACTAGACTTGGGCGCTCACATCTTGATAGACTTATTATTCTCAGGATAGCTTTCGTGGCCTGGCAAAGTAAAACCGCCTACAACCCTGGGGGATTTCATTGACGGAGCAGAAATTCTTGATGCATTATTCAGATACGCTGCAGCTTGTTCTGGAAGAAGCTGTGAAAGTGAAAGATTCAACACATCAGTTTGAGGAAAGTGGTCAAGTAGAGGATTGCTATTGTTATATAATTGGGTATAGGTAGATTATATGATTATGACCTGAGATTCTAGAGCACCAAAACCGCCTTCTGAATCAAGAATATTTATAAGCCCCTCCAATCCTCCCATTATTGATTCAATAAGAGACTCAACGTAAAGCACTGCATCTCGCCCGAATTTGGTAACCTGTGGAGAAAGACAAGAGGAGGGACCTTTCCGTTTAATACATGACAGGATAACTATGAGATTTTGTGGTTCACCAAAAAGAGAAAGATGTGAAATCCAAAAGTAGCTAACAGAACATCAAACAATCAATAACATGATCTGCCATATCACATATGCAAACACGATAACGGGGTCAATTCACTTTTATTGTTTATTGCAATTCTGAGAGTAATATGGTGCTCACTGTATGGTCTTAACACTACTTAAATGCATGCAAGAATCGCATCATCCAGACATGAACTACGGAAAATGCAAAAATCTACTGAGATTGATATACGGATTTACCTCCTCAGGAATGATTAGCGAAGCACATTCCGGGAAACTACTAGCCACACTAAGCCATGCACAGCAATGCTGGGGACGTCCTTCTGGTCCAAACATTGTATTTCTGAAAACCTTTAACAACATTCAAATGTCAGATCATGCATAAGATGGCGCGGGAATATAGTGGACAGTGAACAAGAAGAAGAAACATACAGTTGTGAGGTGTTGATGGTAGAAATATAATTTCTTCAGACTTCCATGCTTTGATAACTGAGACTCTAACTCATCAACACATCTGCATTGAGAAGACATGAAATTCTGAAGGATCTTATAAGATAACCAAGTAATGGTCATATAAGGATGGGAACAGTACCTGGACCAGTTATATGCAGCATTTCCTTCAGATAGCAAGCCCTCCTTCCCGGTAGAGACAGTGGCCTTTTCCAGATGCCTGATGTTTATTGATGATCGAGAAGAAGTCACAATCATCAAAATGGACAGCCAATCTTTCCTGAATTCCTGTACAACAAGATGCGCTGACAATTACGAACCTAGACTGGACGTCCAAAACAACATAACTGAGTTGGGACCAAATGAGAAATATATGGAAACATGAGTGAATCTACTATCTAGGCTGTGAATTCTCTGTAAAAGAAAAATGCAAGTATGTATCATTTGACTTCAAAATAAGTGGATTTAGTTTAGCTTTCTTACAGATAGGTCACATGTGATTGCAGAAATATTTTCTCCCTGCGGTTTGGGTATCGTTTCAAGATGGTGCACAATATGTTGGAACAGGCCTTTCAAGGTTGGATCAAGGTCCAGAGCCACGATCCCAGGAGTACCCATCAGGTAACGAATCCTTCCAGCAGATGAAGAAAGGTATGATAGTGCATAACCTCGAACAGCTGCATTTCAAACAACAAACACCATTAAAGTTACCAAATTTTGCGCACCAGTACCGATCAGTGGGCTCCTCTCATGATTTATACCAACGTTTTAAACTCATGTACTTACAACCAATGTACGAGGATGTGATATTTTCAAAGTAACAAACCTGCAATGTACTTGCGCACTAAACAACAGAGCCGGTCCATTCCGTCTAGCAGGAAGCCAATGGTTGGATCATTTGGATCCTAAGAAATAAGGAATGATAAATCAGCAACATAACCAAAATTTGACTTCCGTGAAAGTCTTACAATATTGAAAGGCTTTCAAAGTTCAAGCAATCAACATACTATGTCAACTGGTATCACTCTAGCAGCTTTGGATCTTGAGGATGCAATACCAGCGTGTTGAAAATACCAAAGAACCTCAGACTGAGCCAAAGCCAATGCAGAGAATACCATCTACGAAAAGAAAAGTAAATAAATCAATCATAGGGAAAGTTCAGAGAAGGGAAGAACTCTTATGAGTATAGTACTGAATAGGAGGCTCTGATGTGTGCAGAACAGAAATGAGATATATAGTTTGTGTCCTTTTCTCTTTAAGAGTATTACACAGCAACTTTGCAAAACTTATCATATGACATTTGTAGTGAGTCATTCTTCCTGTGAAAGCATTGTCAGTTTTCTCTGATTTGCCCAAGATCGTATAACAAATAAATGTAAGCATGCTATTGCGCGCTTTGTTCAATGAAGTAAAGCCAATTGCTAAAAGACGCTAAACACTTAACCCTAATATGCAACGGACTAAACCTAAGTAAAAAAAAAAAAAGAAGATACTTGACTGAAACACCAAGCTTACCTGTATGTTTGGAGCCAGCAAACTTGGTTGATCAGTGAAAAATAAAACCATCCGCCCTATTTCCTGCTTCAGCAAAATTCTCCTTTCTCGGTGTATGGTATCACATAATTGCAATGCTTGCTCATGCACCTCACTGAAAGCAGGGACCAAAACAACAATAAATATATAAATTTAAGAGCTATAATCTCTGCAAGATCACATAATTAGAGGACAACTCATAAAGCCATAAGAATTGAACTAAAATTTGGAGTTACCTGATCATTTTCTCAACTTGCTTTGCTACACTATATTCTAGATCAGCTTCCTTTTGTTTGGTCCGGCCAGACTTTGCCATCTTCTTTGATTCTAACACACGAGGTAAAACATACAACTGGTAGTCCTCATGCAACAGGATGTACTGCATTGTTAGGTTAACAGTGTCAGCTGATGGAAACCGAATCGTATCCAAAACTATTTGTTGCAGATCATTTGATGCGAACTCACCTCATCCCGGAATAAAGTCACAACTAAGTTTTCTTTTAGCACAACCTGAAACACAACAGGACGGTAAAACATTTGTTAGAGACGGCACGAATTACAGGCAATCTGGAAAGAAATATGGAGGCTTTATCTTTTACATAAGAAACCTTACTCCAATACCACTAACTCTTGTTAATAAATAAACAGTCCAAAATGCACATAAAATTTAGATACTTGACCAAAAACAACAAATTTAGAAACTAAGGCAATCTGATTTGTAAAACAATTATTACAAAACTATTATTGACTAGATAAGCTGGTCTTCAATATGCCCATGGAATTCATTATAATCCTCGTGGAAGAGTACTTTGTGCTTCTTTATCAAGACCTAAAAAAGATTCTTACCAGGGCGATATCAATGCTAGTAACACGGAGAAGCTCGTCTGGACAAACGAGATATCCAAGAAGCACCCATTCTCGGTACGAAGTAACATTTGCAAGGTCTTGCGCTCTCTGTAGGAAGCAAGATTGTAAAATTCGTGCAGTTATTAGCATCATACATCAAGAAAAGAGTGGTACGGGAAATACTACAGCATCATACTAATTCAGAGAATCTTGATCTCTATGTTGTTAAGTATCTAGCCGTTCAGAATTACCATGGGATGAGCAGAATTTGTAAGTATATCTGGGTATCGAGGATGATATGGGCTTAAAAATCCCTCATTTCTCAACTTCCTTGTATCTGCAGATAGAAAAATACTGGGTCCTACAGCCTCCAGGACCTAAGAAACGAGTAACATTGTGAGTACTGATGTACCAATTGCTGTATTAGCTTGTAGTTTACCCGTTCATTTTTAATCTGGATATAACAAGTGCAGCTTCAACTCTTACAATCTAGCGAAGTCCTACTAAACATAATAACCAAGTCAAACTAAGGAGAAATATTAACCTCTCCAATCCTTGGGCTGACAAAATTCAAATCCTCTTGTAAGCCTTTCAATGGGGGATCATATGAGTCTATGAATTGCACCAAGCTGGATACAAGACAAAGAATGTTAACTCATAATAATTGGCCTGTTGATTATATATAAATTAACGATTGAAGTACAAGGGAAAAAATAATCCACACCGGTGATAAAAGTCACAGTCTCGATCATTTCTTGATAGTGCATGCAGAAGATTGTACACTTGCAGCAACATTTTCCTAGGAATCTACTTTGATAAAATAAGCACTCTTAGATATTGATGCTAAAAAAGTGTAAGACTCATCTGACATGTGTGTTAATCAATCCAAATGAGCAAAAAACTAAGAAAGGAATTAGCTCTTAGCATACCTTCTCTGCGAAAAGATTGACTCGGACAAATGCACAAAAGAGATCCATGAATGCATGCAGTATTAGTGAGTTCTGATGAGGCTGCAAAAAAACTGAACTAAGTTATGAGCTAATCATGAATACTCAACAATATTATCCTCTTCCCCAAAGACAACTTTTTCACAAGTAAAAACAAAATAACTTAATGTACCAAAGTTTTTTATGAGCTCCACCCACCGTACGAGTTTCAAAAGAGAGCTCAAAATTTCAACGAATAGTAAGTAAATACTTTCCGCAGATGAGGGAGTTTGACTCACCAGCAAGGTAATTACAGTGCTGCTTAAGTCCAATATAAGCCGTAGCGCCTGTTCTCTAAATGCCATTAAATCGAGTAGCAGCTGATTCAAGAAAGCAAAAATGCATGACGGGAGGAAAATGAAGGCACCCCAACTGAGTATTAATTATACACAAACTGAAAATAACAAATAATCACTCTTTTACATTTAAAAGTTAAAACAAAGTACAGTATTAGCCTAATACTATTAGGTACATCCTCTATGTGTACACACATATATAAGAACAGGGCTGGTTCGTGGTGAAACGGAATATAATGAATAAAGAAAACTTATAGAAGCTGACTATATAGCATGTAGGATTTCCTAGATGCTTACTATTCTCGAGAAACAAAGTTCAGTACAACAGAACCTAGACCCAACAACATATTGCATATATAATTTCTCATTACCTGTATCCATGGTTCTAAGCTCTGTAAGTGAAGTTCAGCACCATCGTGCAAGCTATCCAGTGAAAATTTGTCAATCTGGATACGTATTGCAAAAAAAAAGAAAAAATAATTAGCATAACTATTGCTACCACCACAACAACAAAGCACACACTAAGCCTAATACAAAAGAAGTTAAAGAACTCAGTACTTACACGTTCAAGTTGCAATTTGCTGAAATGCTCAGGGAACTTTTTGGAGAGCAATGTGCATATCCGTGGTTGATTAGGGAACACACCAGCTTTCCAAAATGCTTCAGAGAATACATGTCCAACAGGATCTGGGTACTCCAAGATTTGATTCAGTCTATACATTTTAGCCATGAGACCTTCTGCAACCTCGATCATTTGAACAACCCACTGTATGTTCAACGCCTTTGTGGAACCACCAGAACTCTGAACATGTCCATCGGAACTCGTATGCTTTGAGCTCCTAGACGACACTGATGCTGCCATTTCAGGTCCCAAATACTCGGTCCATCTGGAAGGACCCTCCCATTCCCTTGATCTCACAGAAGTCGGAGACGTTGATTCGTCTTGAGAAGGATAATATTGACGCGAATTCGCCATTAATGATCAATCCAGTAATAGAATCTCTGCAAAAAAAGGGGAAAATCTATTTCAGAATCACATTACACAATCGCGTCTAACATAATTCACTTAGCAGTTTCTAAAACAGGACTGAAAATTTCTGACTCGGAAATCCAGTAATTCTCAGCGACTTCGCCGGCGAGAAAATGCGGGAAAATAAGAGTGTATCTCTTTTGCATCCGATCTTAAATTAAATAGCGAAATTAAAGAAGCGATGAGTCAGGATTGATTTCTCCTTCGCCATTCAAGCAAAGAGTCGCGTGAAGATTGTAAGTTACCTGCGGAAGCTCCAATGGGGAAAGTCAAGTAGGAAAAAAGCCTCAATAAGATCGCAGCTGCGTCTTGGAGTTCAGATCTGAGTTTCTGCAACCTTCTCCGGAGACGATGACGACGAAGAAGAGAAAGAGGACGGCAAAGAGGAAAGAGAGAGAGAGCAGGCTTAATCGGAGTGTGAGAAACTAGAAAGAATTGCAAATTTCGGGTCTCATTTAAGACAAACTAGTCATAGTCAGTAGAATTTCTTTCGTTTTCCAAATAAATGCTTCTTTTTTTTTACTGGCTCTTTCTTAAACACATTTTTTTACTTTTAAATCTGAAATTTTCAAAGCAAAAACGTTAACTTTTTGCAGTAACCCAAAGGCATTAAAATGCATTTTAACATTTTCGGATAGATAAAAAAGCATTTATTTGGTTATTTTAGTATATTTATTTGTTTCTTAAATTTTTTAAATTTGAAATTCTGTTAGAAGAAAACAAACGCTCTAGTTGGGTAGTTGAAATATAAGTTTCCAAAGCTTTGATGAAATGGGATAAGCTTTTATATTCAGAGAATAAACTAAACAAAATATCAAAGCTTTTGATGGCAACAAATACGACTTGTAAGTTGTAAATTTGTAATCATCATTAACTATACAATTTAGCTTTTTGGTGTAATAATTGTCAATTATTTTGGAATTACTGTGTTAATGACGCTTTTTATTATGTCATTGTGATTTGTGACCATTGGCGCGAATTAGTAGTTATGCAGATACTTGTCATGTAATTATATTAGAAATCGTTTTGACTCTAAATACGTGTTATATAGTGTATGATGCTCGAGTGGTTGAATGATACAACATATGGATTTAGAGATTGTAAATCGAACATTTCCACTATATAGTTTTACTTCATTATAGTGTTTTCATGGAAATATCTAGCTCTTCCACGTGATTTGGTGATATTAGTCAGTAAAAGTTCGGTGAGGTTATTGCCAGATTAATTAGTGGAAAACATGACAAATAAGGAAAAAGTAAAAGAAATAATAATACTTGAGAGTTAAATTATTAGAGTAATAATTAGGGTTGACAACACATGAATCTTATATTACAAGGCACATCTTGTAACTTTTGCCGGACAATTGAGGATAACAAGCTTGGTTTCCACAATAAGCAACAATGATATCCAAAATCTTTTTTCCCACTATGCACAATATCATTTGCATTACATGTTTTGTTTCCTTTCACATTAGGTTTACATGTGAACGGTGAACCAGAATATAAGTATAGAGCGAAAACAAAAAAAACAGGTTTCATATGTCTGTGACTCTCTGTGCTAAATCCTTGTTCATGTAATAACAAACATTTAACTGCAACATTTTAACTGTGTAAACTAACTCGAGAATCGGTTAAGATCCAAACAAGGGTAAAAGCCATGTTGAGTTTAGTAAAGAGAGGCCAAGTGAGAAACAAAGAGGCATACATAACTCCATGAAAGATCAAATCAAAGCTTAATTTATTCTCTACCATTATGCAAACAATAGAATAAAAAAAAACAAAACATAAAAAAGAGAAGCAGAGATCGAAATCTTGAGAATTTTCTTGCTAAATCCATAGACAAAGACCAAGATTTTCGTTTTCACTCTCTTCTGAGAAAACAACAATCTCTGTTGCAGTGGAAGGAATACTCCAGATGAAGAAAATAAAAGAAAGCTCAGTGCTTGGCGTCTTCTTCTTCGCAGAACTTAGAGTACTTGTCTGAATCCATTAGCTTCTCTGCCTCGCCTGCATCACTGAGCTCCACCTTTATAATCCATCCTTGTTCATACGGGCTCGAGTTCACCTGTCAAATTCCAACAAAAGACTCTCAGCTCGAGACCACAAAATCTCTAAGTTTATACCTCTCAAAGTGTAAAACTTTCACATCAGCTTAAAGTTTCCAAGAAACGAATCTGATCTCTACAGTCATCACTCGCAAATCACGAAGACATTTACATTAAAAAAGCTGTCGAATGCTCAAATGATCAAGTAAAGAATGTCATTCTTGGAAACGAAATGTAACGAACGAAAGAGGACTCACCAATCCAGGGGACTCGGTTAGGTCCTCATTGACTTCAACAACCTTACCGGAGACTGGAGAATTGATGTCACTAGTTGCTTTCACACTCTCAACAGCTCCAAAACTCTCTCCTTGTGTCACGGAACGTCCCAAATCAGGCAACTCCACATAGACCACATCTCCCAAATGGTCTTGTGCGTGGTCCGTTATACCAAACGTCGCTTTGTTACCCTCAATCTTCACCCATTCATGTGAATCAGCATATTTCAGATCCTTCAAAACCACTAAACAACAGACACAACCAGAAAAGATTCAACATTTCAGCATAAGGTTAAATGGAAAAGATTCAACATTTCAACAAGAGAATCAAAAACAAACTTCTTGAATTATATTCTTTCTCTGTTTTCAGGCAAATACATGGTTCCACAGCAAAAGGTACTTGTTGCCAAAGCAAACAAATAATCATCATACCGAACAAAAAGCTACCACCTTTAAGTTTCTGAACACTGTTAACAGGATTATCATAAACACTGAGTCGAAGGAATCAAATGCAATTTCTGGAAATTGTTACGGAAAAGAAGAAATAGACACTACAAGCAGATATCAGAAGGCAATCAATCCAATAAAAAAAAGGATTTGGAAACGCAAAATAATCAAAGCTCCCTTCTTTCGCTTATAATCCGATTAAGATCCATATGTATTCAAAAAGAGCAATCTCAGATCAAACAGGCAGACGAAACCCGCAGAGATCAAACAAAGAGAAAAGGAATGAGATTGAGATTCACCCGAAGAAAACCCTCGTTGAGCAACGGAGATCCTTAGATGAGAAGCAACCCTAGAAGCCCACAATAATCTAGCTGCCATTTTCTCGTTGAGATCTCGAAGCACAAAGAATCAATCTGATACACAACAACAGTGAGAGAGAGAGAGAAAGAGAGTGCACTCACCGAACGGCTTATTATTCTATTCTTTACGAGACAAAAAGGGTTTGGTGAAGTTCGCTTTTTTCTTTTGCTTAAAATATCACTTTCCGAATCATTTGCTCATGGACCAATTTCGCATTCAACTACCCACTAAAGCAACATTAGGCCATCTCCATCCCTAAAAGTCTAAAACCATGTTTTGGGTTCTAAATCATTTTTTATAAATATTTTTCACACGATTCAATGCTAACAAACTTTGTGTGGGTTTTAAACTTTTTTCTTCCTTCATCCCTAAAACTTTTAATTTGGTTCTTAAAAAAAAAAATCATAATATATAAAAACATAAAATATAGTACATTTAATAATTTTTAAAACATACAAAGACATACAACATATTTAATTAAAATTTTAGAAATCAAACATAGAAAGACATACAAAGAAGAACTAGTTAGCATTCGGGTGATGTTTATGCCATACATGCTCAATCAAATCCGCTTTCAATTGTTCGTGTTTTATTAAATCACGAATTTGATTTCGATTGGCCATCATACTGTCGACATCTAGAGTTGTATCCATATCCGTAAAGATCGGATTATCCACTTGTGAAGTGCTTCCTCCTCCTTGCTCGAATTCAGATACATTGATAAGAGTGTATCCATCCGTTCGTCTTCAACTATCATATTATGCAGTATGATACATGCTCTCATAATTTTTCCAACCTTTTCCTTATCCCAAAAAAGAGCCGGGTTCTTCACGATGGCAAATCGAGCTTGCAAGACTCCAAAAGCTCGTTCAACATCTTTCCGATAATGTTCTTGAAACGCAGCATATAACGATGATTTGGGATCAGGTGGATCTTTAATTGTTGGCATAAAAGTTGCCCATTTAGGATAAATACCATCTGTGAGATAGTAAGCCAACTTATATTTTCGTCCATTGACATAGTAACTCACTGGTGGAGCTCGCCCTTGTAAAATATCATCAAAAACGGGTGAACGATCAAGAACATTGATGTCGTTTAAGGTACCTGGGCATCCAAAAAACGCATGCCAAATCCAAAGATCATGTGAAGCTACGGCCTCTAAAACAATTGTTGGTTTTGCAGAGCCACGCGTATATTGTCCTGCCCAAGGAGCTGGGCAATTCTTCCACTCCCAATGCATACAGTCGATGCTCCCTATCATTCCGGGAAATCCACGTGCCTCTCCAACGTCAAGTAGCCGTTTAAGATCATTTTTGTGGGTCTTCTTAGATAGTCTTTCCCGTACAAAGATATGATTTCATCCACAAAATTTTCTACACATAAGAGTGTAGTAGTTTGAGCGATCCGAAGGTATTCGTCATTCTTGTCAGCCGCACAACCATAAGCCAACATACGGATAGCTGCTGTGCACTTTTGTAGTCCTGTTAAACTACTCCTTCCCAAACCATCCGGTCGTGTTGAAAAGAATGTAGTTTGAGTGGAGAGTCGATCAACTATTTTCAGGAACAAGGATTTGTTCATTCTGAAACGGCGACGGAACATATGCGCCGGGTATGTGGCATCTTCGGCGAAATAATCATTGAATAAGCGTTCCTGGCCTTCCTCACGGTTTCTTTCTATATATTGCTTCTTTTTCTTCTCTTTTCTAGGCCGACCATACTCACGGGTAGCTTGCTCAAAGACTTGATCCCATGCTTGGTCAGATTCTTGGTCATACGGATCATGGTGATCATGAATAGAGAAGTGATGATTTGAAGAAGAACCCATAATCTTGGTGTTTACTAGAGACTTGGGGTTTTTTTAAAGTAGTTTGGATTTGCAGAGAAGGGAAACTTGAAGGGGTTTGTTAATTTGGTTTTGCATGAACAAGGAACAAGAGAAGATAAGTTTATTTTTGTTGTTCTCGGAACAAGAAACAATAGAAATTTGAACAAGGAACTAAGAAACAATAGAAATCTGAACATGGAACAAGAACAAGAAAAGAGAAATGTTATGTTATTCTCGTTGGTTTTCAATGAACAACGAACACTTCAATATATAGCAAATTTGGAAAGCAAGAACACAAAAACAACAACAGAAGAAAGCTCATGTGAGCAAACAGAGTAAAGAAGAAAACAAAGCACGTGAAGCTTTGTCCTTGACCTTTGTCTCCTCCTTCAGCCTTCCCGTGAGTACAAGCTTTGTCTGATGCGTTTGACTCCTTTCTTCACGTGAGTAAGTTTTGTCTCTTGCACTCACGTTCCATCACCCATATAGATTAACCACAAAGCTAATTTATTCCTTTCTTCAGCAATCTAATGACCAATGAAGATTTTAAAAGTGTTAGATAATGACCAATGAATTGCATATCACCTAAACATTGATTCTGGAAAAGAAGAACAAGCAACAAAATCAAGAACAAGCAACAGAACCAATCCAAAGAAAAAACCAGAGATAAGTTAACAACAAACCTGAGAGACAAAACCATATCAAATCCATCTTTATGTGTATCTTCTTGAACATGTGTATCTCGTTGAACATGAAACAAGTATGATGTTAATCACTTGCAAAATCAAAACCAAGCAATGAAACAAACCCATGAGAATCAGAAAACACTTATTATCCGAGGATAAATATGTTTGTTTATGTTAAAAGCAGAATAAATATGTTTATATCATTAGCTGGTACCAAACACATGAAAATCAGAAAATACTTATTATCCGAGGAAAGGAAAGACAAATTACAAAGGGTAAATGATTCTCTAATCTGAAAACTAACTTAAGACATGGAAAACCAAACTTAAGTTAAGAGAACATGGAAAACATAGAAGCCGAACTTAATTCAAACATATTTAGATCCTAGAAAACACATAGAAGCTAATCTAACAGCATGAAATCGAGTAGCTTGTCCTTCAGAGCAATCTCTTTCTCAGTAAGTGGTTCCTTTTTAGCTAGCAGACTATCTAGAACTGCCTGCTTCGACAGCCTTTCCCTCACGGCTAAGTCATGCTTCCTATCTGCGGACATGCTCTCGTATTTCTCAGCGGAAATGGGTTCACTTTCCCTTGTGCCCTTCTTAGCTTTTGCTTTTGCTGCTTTGACTCCCATAGGCCGAGCCCTAGCTTCATCTGCATCTCCTTCTTCACGTGCAGCCTCACCCCTGCTTCTCTTTGAGCTTCCACCAGTTTCGGTTATAAACATAGACAACCATTTCTGGTCATGTCGAAGCTTCGTCCATGCATACTCAAGGTTGAAGTTGAACTTGTAATCGTTGTAGAAGATCTGGTGAGCCATGAACAAAGTGTCGTTGTCGTTTTGACCACTGGATGTCTGCTTCATTGCCGCATCATAAGCCCCGACAAACTTGCAAACAAGATTGTTCATCTTCTGCCACCTCTGCTTACAATGAGTAGGAGCTCGCGGTTGAAGGCCATCAAGCGTAGGGCTTGAGTTAAAGAATTCAGTGATACGTTTCCAAAAAGTTCCAGCCTTCTGCTGATTTGCCCTTAAAGGATCTTTGCTGGTGTGTAGCCAGGCGCTAATTAAAACAACGTCTTCTGGCTGAGTCCACTTTCTCCTTACTTTGCGCTCAACAGGTGACTCTTCTTCTGTGAGTGGATCATCAGCGGTTGAAAGAAAGGTGGGATGGCGGATGATCCTACTGGGTGGAAACTCTCTTGCTGTCTTTGTAAAAGCTCAAGATAGCTGCGGCTGTTACCAAGTGTATATGAATCCATTTCCAAATGAAGGAGAAGGAAAAGGAAAAGTAAAAGGAAACGAAAACAACTGGAAACTGATATGGAAAGAAAACAAGCTTAGGGCTAGAGATGGTAAATGGTGTGTTTTCGAAAAGATCAAGCCTCTTGATTATATAGAAAATATGAACGTTGGTTTGTGTTTTAAGCATTCAATGTTTTTAAGCTTCTACACCTACTTAAAACGTAACTCAAGGCGCACACACCATTACCCAACATCTAATCTCTAATAGTTACACCACTCATCAATGACATACAACTAACACTTATCTAATCGCATTAAAGGTAGAGCAATAAGAATGCTTTATCAAAAAGAAACTAATCTACAGAGAATGTATGTTTCAAGTGGAATTAAACGGTACATAGCAATATCACAGAGAAACTAATCTAAAGATCTAGTTAGCAACCAAAAGAAAACTAAACATTTTTTTTCAGACATAGAGAACTCTAACCAAGCAATGAAACCAAAAAGGAATCAAAATGTAAACACACAACAACATTCAATTACAAGGGACGTTGCAGAAGATAGAGACAATGAGAGAGAAGTACCTGAATGTAAAAGGAGTTAATACTTTGATCTAGTCCCAACACCCGCCATCACATCCTCAGCCGAATACGTTGCTCTAGTTGATGTCACAATTCCATGATTCACCTTGAAAAGAAAAACATCAAGAAACTTTTAAAATTATGACTAGCTACGATTTCAGAGATTGATAATTAAAGCAAATAGCCAATGAAATCAAAAGCAATATCACATCATTAAATAACATATCCATAAGTTAGATTTTCAACACACATCAATATGCTCTCAACTAACACCACCATAAATGACATACAACTAACACATATCTTATCACCATAATATAGAGAGAACAATTAAGATATGAGAGAACACTACCAGCCGAACCAAACAGCAAGTTACAAATTATTTTAGATGTGAACCAAATATCTAATTTCGGACACATAAAAAAAATGAACAATTGAAACCATGAAAAAAAAACCTATACTTATTAGATCAAACGAATAACTTAAAATTGAGCACAAGCAAAAAGAACAATTGAAACTTTCAGAAACAATTACAGAAACACGATGAATGAAATGAATCATATGAAAATTTGGTGACCTCAAGGGTACAAATAAACAATCAATTGCATATTCATAAATTGGAATCACAAATAAATAAGCTTCTCAGTCTCTGCATATTCACAAATCGAAATAACATAAA